AGAAGATGTGTTACATATAAACAGTGAATGTCACTCAGCACAAAAAAATAAATTTTGGCATTTGTGACAATATGGATAGAACTTGAGAGGATTATGCTGAGAAAAACAAGTCAAGATGAGAAAGACAAAAATCAGTCAAGTAGATTCCATGGAAGACTTTCATATGCCTTAGTAGTTTAAAACTCATGTAAGAGACAGAACACAAAGATAGTCATGGTGACTTTATGAAATTAAATGTAAATTAAATTACTTTCAGATGAATTTTGGGTGAAAGCTTAATAATATAGCATATTCTTTCTCCTCAGACACAGACTGCTATAGATATGAGTAATATCTGCCATGAAAAATAGCCCATAACACAATACTATACATTCTATTTTTCAATATTTAGAATAAACCTATAAAATATATATAAAGAAAGTTTAATTATAATGATTGGACAGACTGCAGTCAAATGTAAATATAATAAATATGGAAAATGTAAAAGTAATATTAAGTTTGGAAATACAGTGTCCTAATCCACAACTACCTCTTATCTATCTCCCAGATCCCTAAAATGAATGAAAAGGTGTAAAAAGAAGAGTTCATAGATATATCAGTGGGAGTGGGTGGGGGGAGGAAAAGAGCAAGGGAGGGAGAGGAAGAGAAGAATGTTATCAGATGCTTGGAGAACAAAATGAATCAAATATAGAAAAAAATCCATAATTCAAAATGCAAGCAGAAAACGACTATGACAGAGATGGAAGCAATGTGGTTCAAGGGATTTCCAGTCCAGAGTAAATGTACACAAAGGCAGGAGGGCGCTAGAGGGTACTCAGTGGTTAACTGGGGAATAACTGTGATTCCTTCAACATGACTATGCTAAGTGTTTCATGGCCTTAGGCTTGTATCCACAATCATCAGGAACCAAGCTAGTTCCACCATCTTTAGCGTGAGTTTTTCACCCTGGAGTCTAAAAAAAATTGTTCCTTTAGCTTTACCCACCAGTCTCAATTACAGCCACTGAGAAGCTGGCAGGAAAGAAGTCATGACAGAAAGGAACAAAGGGATGGCCCCTTCCTTCCTGGTTGGAAAATGGACATTCCAGCTTTACTTAAATCCCACTGGCTGAAGGTATATGAACAGAAGTGATGGACAGTAATACAGTGACTGAGAAATGAGTACTTACTGGAGAAGAACCAAGAGTAATGGTGTCACAGAAATAATAAGCAGCCAGACTAAAGGAGGGACACCCCTTTGATTTCTTGAGTCTGTCCTGGTTTGGTATTTGGTTAGTCCAAGGCAAAGAGGGAAAAACAAATTGCTTGTCTGTGAGCCTCCTCCACTAGGATGAACAACAATTAATTCCTTTTCTATGCCATCTAGCTCCTTTGTAACATTTCAGTGTTTCCAATTCTCTCCACCCCCTTGGTTATTACACAACTTAGGCTTTGATGTACAGTGATAACTCCTTGTTTTTCCAGTGCTTATTTAGACATTACATACACTACTAGACACATCGATAATTCTTTTTTCATAGACTGCATCTTTAAAACCAGCAAAGAAAAATTGACCTTCATAATATATTGCTTAAACTACTTCACTTGGAAAATAAAACATAATCTCCAAACAAAAAACTTCTCAGTATCTTCCTAATATCCATAATATGTCTAAATTCTGTCATGTGATTTCCAACAGGTTCTAAGTTTTGTCTTTTGCCCTTTGTTTAGATTCAATTTTTATTTTCTCACACAAATAGATTTTTGAAGTTTCGTCCTGCACAATTACTACTGCTATTTTTGCCTACAACCATTACCCATCAATCAAACTACTTTCTTTTCTCCCTGTGTCTTGTTTAACACATACTCACCTACTTTTATGTCTTGCCACAGGAAAATGACCCAGGAGGCTATAACAGGTGATATTAGCCTCCTTATTGCCAAATGGTACTGCAACTTTCTGTCCTTCCCTTAATAAAACACCACTGAGGTGTTACTATATTTCTAGCTTGTCTTCTACAAAAATGGAAGTGTCCATATTTTTCTATGTAGCCTTCCTTCCTCCACAGTAGTTCCCATTTAAGGCAACCAGTGTACACTAGATTATTTAATGATGGAGAGAAGGATTTTCCTCTCCTTGTCCTAGGGCTCTCAGTGACTCCTGGATTGTCAGAGTCTGCCTGCTTACCAAACCTTGCTAACTCCCTTACAGCAACTTCCTAGACTGGAGCCCACTGTCTCTGTCTCAGTGACTGTTTAAAAAAATTACAAGCAAACCAACATGAGCCATTCAATGCAGGAAAGAAGACTAGATTATTCAAGTTTTAGATCAAGGAGGCTGATGTGGGGCAGAATTCTGAAGCAAATTACTAAATGCATGATTAAATGTATAAACCCACTTGCAGTGTAAAAGGTGTGGCTATTTTT